GTCATGGTCCATCTGGCCTTGGTAAACTCTCATTAGATCCGACCCCTTGTATCAGTGGGTGATAGTATCCCTCGCAGTCCTTCGTCATTTTCTTCCTCCTTTTGCTCCTCGTTTGGATCTTGGGGGGCTCAGTTCGGTGCTCCAACGCGGGCCTCCATCTGTATCGTCATCCAACGCCAGATGAGGGATCTCCTGGCGGATAGGTAAATAATCTTCATCAGGTTCGTCTTCTTATTTAGCTTCTCTAGGATCACGAATAATAGGCTCAAAGACCTTTAATTATGGTTAGAATCCACTTATGAGTGAATACATACCGTGTTCCTCTTTTTGGGTCTGGCTTACCTCACTCAGTAAAGCGTTTTCTATGTCCATCCATTTGCATGCAAAATTCAAGATGTCATTATTTTTTACCGCTGAGTAAAACTCTAATGTGTATATGTTCCACACCTTTTTTAACCATTCTTCTATTGAGGGGCACCTAGGCTGTTTCCAGGTTCTGGCTATTACAAATAGTGCTGCTATGAACATAGTTGAACAAACGCTTTTGTAGTATGTTTGTGCATCTCTAGGGTATATTCCCAAGAGAGGAATTGCTGGGTCCTGAGGGAGGTTGACTCCCAGTTTCCTGAGAAACCTCCACACTGATTTCCAAAGTGGCTGCACAAGTTTGCAATCCCACAAACAATGGCTGGCCTGCAGTCTTTCCGAGAAGCCATTGACAATGACACTGGGACTGGTTTCCTCTGCATATACTGGATTTTTGGGATCCAGTCTGTTTGGATGCTCACCTTCCTGGACCTGGAGTGAGGGGGGAGGAACTTGGACTTCCCACAGGGCAGGAGACCCTGACTTCCCTAGGGGGACAAAGAGGGAGGAGGAGAGGGAGGGGGGAGTGGGAGGGCGTTGGGAGGAGGGGCGTAAATGGAAACTTTTTATAATTTAATAAAATTACAAAAAAAAAAAAAGCGGGCAGCTATAGCTTTATGGGCTTCTATGTGGCTCTTCTATCCTATTCCAATTGTGCTCGCTTTTGCATGTCTTCTATTATTTCTTGCCTAACTCAGACCTCAAGCACTACATGGCGGAGACTGAGAGAGTAGACATGCTTATCCTGTTTCTGATCTTGGTGGCAATGATTTGGGTTCTTTTCCATTTATCATGAGGCTGGTGATAGCTTTGGCATATATAACCCTTATTATGTTAAGGAATGTTCCCTCATTCCTAGTTCCTCCATGACTTTTATCCTGAAGAAATATTGAATTATATCAAAGGCTTTTAATGTGACTATTGAGATGATGTTGTAATTTTTGTCTTTGAGTGCATTCATGTGATAAATAATATTTATTGGTCTCTTGAGCCAACTTGATCATGATGAACAATCTTTTTGATTTAGAACTCAATTTGCAAGCACTTTATTGGGGTATTCTGCATCTGAATATTTTATTTCAGCAGGGAGATCATGGTGTAAATTTATCTTTTCTTTCCTTCATACTTTCTGTCTTTATCTGTCTTTGGTATCAGTGTAATGCTGCTGGCTTCATTAAAGGAGTACCGAATGAAGTTTTCTTTCCTTTTTTACTTCATGTAATAATTGAGCAGCATTGGTGTTAATACTTTTTTGAATTTCTGGTAGAATTTTGGTGAGTCCATCTGGCCTTGGGCTCCCCCTGCCCCCAGTTTGGAGAACTTTAACCCTGGAAGTAAGACCAACAATTGGCAAAGCACCTCTTATAAAAGCAAGACGCTCCTGTAGGGCACAGCGTACAGTCGGGTGAAGAAGCAGCCAAAGGAGGAAAGGAGTCTCAGGCAGCTATGTGCTGAACTGAGGATTAATGATTAGAGTACAAAAGAAGTTGGAATGTAAACATTAAGAGAATAAATAACTCAGTAGAAAAACGGATTGCGTGACCAGACAAAGAGGTTTCAAAAGAGTAAATACAAGTGACTAGAGATCACTTACAATTTTCAACATCATCAGCCCTCAGGGAAATGCAGATCCAAGGCATTTTAAGATTGTACCTCATTCCTATCAGAAGAGCTGTCATTAATAAATCAAATAAGAACAAACACTGGCATGGGTGAGACAGGAACCTTTATACATGGCTGATAGGAACAGAAACTACTGCAGTTGCCTTGGAAATCAGTCTGGAGGTTTTGAAAAAAACAGAACTAAAACTAACTGATTAACTATGCCACAACACACACACACACACACACACACACACACATATATATATGTTGTGGCACATATATAACATATATGTGTTATATATATATGTATATGTATATATAACAGAGAGACCTGTTCATTGCTGATGAACACACAAGAACTATGAAATGGAAACAGACTAGATATTTGTCAACTGATCACTTAGACAGAAATGTGAGAAACAGATTTATCAGAAAGAAGACAAGTTACGGGGGCCAGGAAGGGGTTAAGAGAGGGTGAAAGGAGAGAGTACACGTATGAAATGATGAACAAACTCAATTAACAATAAAAGTACATGCTACAATGCCATGATGAATTCGGTATCTTTTAAAAATTAACACATTTACTAATCACATTAAAAATTCAATGTATTTAAGCAATATTACACATGTATATATAGTCTGTAAATTATATTCATTCTATTAATCTCTTAGAAATAATTTCACATATGTATAAAATTGAAATTACTGATTTGGCTGATGTTTTAAAATTATTCATTAGTTGGAAAATTACGAGTTTATTTTATTCTCCAACTATTCTGCATGCCTTCAAAAATGTTTTGTGTCTTTAAGAGGAAATATGATTGCACCTGATACTATGTACATATATATTTAAATGAACGATGAATGAAAATTGTTGCTAATTATTTAGAAAAAGTCGAATGCTATTGTGCGGAGGCAGTGGCAAGTGTGCCTGATGTGTCATGGTGGAGTCATTCTCGAAAAGTGATGGCTGCAAAATTGAGTAAACACAGAACCAATAAAGAAAAGATTTCCTCACACCATGTTTGGAGCCAGCTGGCTACAGAGCACGTGCTGTGGAAAATTCTGAGAGACCTGTGAGGATTTTTCCCCTCGTGCTGGCATCAGCTGTAGAGTGGAAAACCTGCTTCTCTGTAGAAGACGCCACAGAACTGCCCTTTGCCCAGTGCTACCAGCGTGACCCCATTACTCTCCCTTCGTTCGAACAGAAGGACCAGCACTCCATTTCCTGGAAGAAAACAGCAGCCAGAATGAGTGAGTTCTTCTCTCCCCTTGCAAGCATCTGCCTGAGTCACTGGGAGAAGCTGATGATCCAAGCCGATGACCCATTCTTTTGAGTTTTTGCTTTTATTCCTTAGGCCCTTGTGCTATTTTTATTTTCAGCTCTAATCTGCAGGGCCAATGCCACTTCATAACCAAGTCTCTTCTAATTCCATTTTACAGAATATGACTCCTATCAACAGCCCACAAAGCCACAACCCATTACCGGTGTTACTTTACTCAGCTGGAGTCATGGCTGTGTCCAAGAGAAATCCCTGCAAGCCTCTTGCCATCTGCCTTCTCAACAGATTCAGATCAGCAGAGAAAGCTTTCCAATCTCTAGTCTACTGTTCATGGGTTCCTCTGAAGTCATAAATATTGATCAAATACCAAAAACCATCTCCTAAGAACGGGCGCTTGCCTCCAGGAGTGGGTCCTTCCAGGGAACATTAACTTTTTCTGGGCACTGTGCTAGCTAAACACACTGCTTAGCTTCTGCATGGATCAGCTACTATTCATTCTCCTTCCCCCGTCAGCCAAGCTAGGGAGACTGAGAAGGCTGCTCAAGGATTTCCCTTCAAATGCTCTAAATCTTAACCACTAAAAGAATGCAATATTTCTTTCCAACAACAAAGTTTGTGGACATCAAAGGCCTTGACTGAAGGGAGAGAGAATAACAAGGAAAAGAATTTAAAAACAATCCTGTTTTATAATTTGAGCTAGAAAAATCAAGAAAGTTATTAGGCAAAACCATTCAGGCTCCATTTTCCACCCCAGTCTCCTTGTGTGCAAAGTTCTTAAGCCTTCCAGAGGAATATAACAAACAAAAAGTAAAACAACAACACAACAAAAGTCTATCTGTCTGAACAGATGTGAAAATAAGACCTAGAAATAAAAGCCAAGGTGTACAAAGTTGATTCACTAGAAGTGCAGGACTCTATCTATAGAACCTATAGAATTCTATGAATCTAGAAAAAAAGGTAACCCCGACCAGAAGAGATTCTGATGAATTTAAGCATCCCAGGCTGGACTAGCTCCTCATAAAGAGCAATTGTTCCCCCAAGTAAGACTCCATCAACAACGGGAAGAAACTAAGAAGCAGACACATACTGAGTTGTCCAGCTTGGAGTAGGTGAGCCGATTTGTCTGGCAAGTCGGTGAGAGCTGAGGTAAGGACTGTTTCAGTTCACAATGGAGACAGGCCTTCTTCCAAAGGCACGGAGAAGTTACCAGAAGGTGTTGTTTGAAGGAGTGCTGGATTAAGGCCATGTTTAGAGTTGTCAACTCAAAAAAATTGCTGATAGATAGCAAATAGGACAGAACGAAAAACAATATAGGGCTTTCTTCATAATTACTAGACTTTGGAGTAATAAATGTCTGAATCATGTTGGAACCTAAGGGACTGAGAAAGAAGGCAGGCGTGAATGTGAGAGGCATTTCCGGGCATTTGAATAGGAGCAGGGCTCTGTAGCCACTGACAAGCTTCAAGTATGTTCCCAAACAGGGAGTTATTCCGGCCCTAAATGGGCAAGTCACACACTCAGCTCTCCAAAAGTATGTGCTGGAAGTACCAGCCCCGACTGCAACAGTCACCCACAGCACCTAAAGCCACCCACTACCCGGCAGATGACCCCATGGAGTGAACCAATCATCTGGTCCAAGCTCCCCACCTGCTCACGCTTGAGTCCGAAGACAGGGAGGATGGAAAAGTTTGGGGAGTAGTCCCAGACACACTAGAAGGACATTCATTCCTCAAACCCTCCTCTCAGGTGTTGCTGAGAGGGAGGATGACATCTGGCCAGTCCTTAGCCGGCCACCACTCCTCCCCCGGGAGCCGGAATTAGGAAACCCTGGACACGCCGCTACTAAGTCCTCGCTGCTGCTGAAGCACCTCCCCAGGCTTATAAAGGTCACCGCGCTGCGCTGGGCAGTTGAGCTCACTTGCCTGGCGGCGCAGAGTCACAGCGACTTGGTTGGCTCCAGCCCCTGGGTCAGCCCAACTCCATCCAGCTCAGCCGCAGACTCCTGGCTCCCGCCCTCCCGCCGCCCCGCACTCTGCAATCTGCCCAGAGGGAGGAGGATGGAGACGCTCTCTGCCGCTCGAGTCATGGCGCTGCTCTGCCTGGGTAAGCCCTCACAGTCTCAAAGAGGAGAAGGGAACGGCCCCGTGCATTTGTCATAGGACAAGTACGGAGTTGTCCACCAGGTTCAAATGCACGCTGTGTTAAGAGGATGTCTTCTGTGAGTCTATCTCTCTCACTGGCAAGACTGGAGAGGTGGGGGATGGATGGATGTCAAAATTGCATTTCATTGATAAATTCACTACAGATATATATTCTGCGTAAATTAATCTCTCTTTTACTGGACAAAATATAAAAAGGAAGTTGAAAAGGTTTGCTTTCTCTTTCTTTTCTTATTTTCTTTCTTTCTTCTTTTGAAAATGCTGTGGTACTAGAACACCAAAGGTGTGGAAAGCACCTCTGATAGATAATGATTTACTTCCTTGGAGGGGGCAGGTAGAGAGATTGGCTCAGCCCCAACCCACTAGAAACCTTTGCACAAAGGATCCTGCTCACAACCAGGGGCCTCTGGGATGTGTACTTGTATACATGCAGGGTGCTGAAGCCCCAGATACCCTAGCAGAACCAGAAGGAAACTGCCTACAGATTTTCACCTGCAGCTCCTGAGCAGTACCTGCCTTCCCAAAGGATTCAGGCAAGCAATGCTTGAGGCTACCTGCCAGAAGCTTGTAATTTAGAAAGACGGTTTCTTCTTTATTGGTAGTTTGCTTGTTTGAGATGAGTTAGCTCTTGGGGACAGGAGCTCAAGAGTCAGGTAGATCCCATTGTAACATTCTCATTTTTGCTTTATCTCATTTAATCCCTTTCCCCTAATTTTTTAAATGCCTGATGGTTTTAGAGTCATTTATGAACTTTCCCAGTACATGAACATTTTAATAAGGAAATAAAAAGTTGAGAGTCTCACCTTCTTCCTGAACTTGCAATGAGACAAATTCTCCTAAGACACATTCTCTGTGCAGGATGTGACAGTTAAATTATTATTTCGACATGCCTTACAGGGGTTGGGAGCCCTAATGAGTGCGTGCTATGCATAGTTGGAGCTTACTCGTCTAAATGCAAGAACCCAAGTAGAAACTGGATCTGTGGTTTCTGCCAAAACAGAGCTAAGAATGTCTTGCCAGAAGAGTCACCGTAAACAATGCAGCTTTACCCTTTGCTTTGAGGTCTCTGTGAGAAGGATAAACTCAGAAGGGTGGCAGTCTTCCTCGAGTTAGAAATGAACTTAAGGGCCACAATGGTGTAGTGTTTTTTTTTTTTTTTTTTCCACCTGCAAGGTGTTTCAGAACAATGCAAGTGTCTGTTCTGTGCACCTCGGTGAATATTCTAATGCGAGACAGCGAGAGCCTCTGGATAACCTGTTGCTACCCACCTCGTGCGTGTGTGTTGTGTGTGTTTTTGTTGTCATGAAAGTGCTTAGCTCTTTATTGCAGTGCTTAATTATAGTTCACCGATTTCATCAGCGGCCAAGCCCATTTCCAAATGAGCTAGGTCAGTTTCTGTTTTCCCAGTCTGTTGAGATACTTCTGGCCACTAGAAAAGTTCCTGCGGGAAGTTCTATGGTGTATCACTCTAGCCTGGTATGCAGGTCTTATGTTTGACTCCAAGGCATATAGAGAGAAAAAAAAAAAAAAAAAAGCTAGGCCGCTTATAATGTCGGAACCTGTGATCTCCCTTCCCCAAAGAAAAGATTGCCTAGCTATCTCAGACTTTGCCCCCCAAAGGAAAGTGATCTTTTAGATTTAAGTGTCCTTTTATTGCTTTTGTGGAATGTCTATGCGTTTATGATTATGAGAGTAAAGTTCTACCGTCTGCCCCCAATGCACACAGTTTCGAGTAGCTACCTCCGGTCATCCAACTGCTATTACATTTTATAAGTGTTTGATATCCATGCTCTTGTTTTATGCAAGAGGAAACTGACCCAAGGTCCCTTACAAAATGGACACTAAGCTGCTGCTAGAGCGAAGGTCTAGGCCGACCAGCAGTTGTAGTTAAATGAACATCAAAGTAAAAGATGGAAGTAGCCCAGCTGGGGATGATTTTATTAATAATCTATAATTTTACAGCTGAATTACCCTTCTGACCTTGTGATTGTTCTAGAGAGAGGAAGAGGTCTTTTCATTTTGAGCTCTGTGGTTATGTATGGGTTTGTGAGGCTACTCACAAGTGAAGAAGATTTGCTCTGGCTTCACTACTTGGTGAGAGAATTGAGCAGAGGAAATGGTCTTTCTTGAAAAGATGAGAAACAGAATTTCAGTGAGACAATGGGCTTGCCTTCTGTTGACACGAGAGTATATTATCAACCCGACTCTTGGCATGACCCGAGAAGACACACCTGGGCAGAAAGTACGCTGACAGCTCTCCCGGGTCTGGATTTGAACCTCGGTACCCCAGGTGTCTTCTGCATTGTCTTGCCACATGGGCAGCTTAGATAATTGGAGTGTCTAGTTCAGGGCTAAAATCCAAATCCAGGAGGTGGGACACAAACTAGCTATTACCAAATGCTTGCTGTGGGCCAGACACATTTTGTGTTCAGCATTTTCAACCCTAATCACTTCATTTATGCCCCCCCCCAAGAAAAAAACCACGGAATAAGGTAAGGTAGATATGACGGCAGACACTAAGACTCAGAGAAATCAATTACCTTACAAAGACTTAGAGACTGGGGGTAAAATCAAATTTTAAGGTCACTCTTTAGCAGGTGTCAGCAGTCAGTGGTCCAAAGGCTCATGGGAATAATCAGAATGGCAGGCAGTAGCAAAGCAACTCCAGGGTTTCCTAGGGCTGCCCAAGGCTTGGAACCTGTTCTAAGCTCAGCTTGCACATCTAAGTGGGCTTGCTGACTCCTCCTGGTGCAGAACCAAGCAGAGAAAACACGTAGCTATCCTTTTAATCTGAGATGAGAAAGTCCCTTTTTTTTTTACATAATATTCATATTTTCCCACCGAGTTCTTAGATATGTGCTTCGCTATGAAGCAGTCAACAAAGCTGACTGGTCTTTTACTTCTTATTTTCCAAAACATATACTAATGAAGGTAGGCAAGAAGAGATGGTCTTATATTTTTATTCCTCGAGTCTTTGTGCAATTGTGGATTTTTCTGCCCAGTTTTGTGCATTCCTGGGAAGGGATGCAGATGTGAAGAGTTCTTTCTAAGGAGACTGGAAATGCAGGTATGGCTTCCTCATTTGCACTCTAAATATAGGCGTATGCAAATTGTCTATTAATATGGCCGGAACTGCTGTTAGGAACATTGCACTGAAAGACAATGGGAAGGCTCCCTGACAACCATCACCTTGGTACCAAAGTGCAATCCTGGAACATTGGAAAAAAAAAATGAGGTAATTAGTGTCCTCTGGCAATACAGTTTATGTAAGTCTGGGTGTCTAGTTACAAAGTAGTTAAAGCCTCAGTGGCATTCTAGCTTAAAGTAATTATTTAATTAACTAGCATGCTATTTCGAATATTCAAGATCATCTGATGTTTGTCCCTGAAAAAGAGTGGTACTGTTTAGCCTCCGAGGTCAAAATTGTGAATTATAAATATGAGATATGAAAATTAATGGCACACAAGCTTGGGTGTACAAACACATTTATTGTGCATTAGAACTTTATAGATGCTCATGGACAGGCTTAGTGAGGAAAGACACGTGCTACCTTCGGGCACACCTGCTCCTCTGGTGCTGTGCTCGTCACACCTCAGACTAAGTCTGTATCTGAACAGGGTTAGTGGGGGTGTGATGGAAGTAACAGGTGATGGTAGCTATCAGTGTTGGCTGGGTTCATCATTAGATTGAAGCCTTATTCAGTTCCCAGCACTGCATTTTGCTATACCCAGTGATTCTTTAGATATGCACCTGAGACAGAAGATATCTTGAGATTAAGTCTAGTATAACCTCCATTCCTTGTCTCCCTGTTTCTCTGTTATAGACTTTATTACTGAGAATATGCCTACCCAACTTCACCTAATCTGTCCTAGGAGAGTATGTGTGTGGAGAGAGAGAGAATAAGAAGAGAGAGAGAGAGAGAGAGAGAGAGAGAGAGAGAGAGAGAGAGAGAAAGGAAGGAAGGAAGGAAGCAGCAGCAAGGGAATGAAGAAGGGGGTACTGAGCAGGGATAAGACAGGGTTGATGACAGTCAATAGGAGAGTGAGGGGCAATCTAATTCACACATCGCACTTCTGTCCACCTGCCCTCACTCCCTGCTCTCTGTTTCTAGAGATAAGGAAATTCTTAGTAGGGGATAAAACAAACAATGCTAGAGCTGGATCCTGTATCTGGGGAGTCTGGTTAAGGATTTTTGATACTGACACCACAGATATGGATGGGCTATTCTCTGTGGTGGATTGTCCTGAGCATTGTAGGGAGTTTGACAGCAAACCAGGATCTACCTACTAGATGACAGTAGCACCTCCTACTCTGATAATCATAAACCCCTCTAGACCTTGTCAGACATCCTTGGCTGATAAAATTGGTCCTGGTTGAGAACCACTAATCTAATATATTTTTTATTGTCACCCATAATTCACAGGTTGAATTATCAAGACAAAGAACATTTATAGTTAGTGCCAATCTAGTTAGCAACTTCAGTGTTTTAAAACTCACCTTTGGGAGTTCCGCGATAGAGCACTTGTCTAGCCTGAGGAAAAACCTGTTTGATGTGGGCACCACAAAACTTATCAGCTTAGCAACATCCATTGCTGGTTTTAGCAGCCCCTGAATCTTGTTTCACACATGGGTTCTGAGAGCTTTCTTCAGTCAGGGCACAGCTGCTCCCCCGCTCCTCCTGTTACACCCCTGCCCATCCACAATACTAAAGTTCCCCCTTTCCGCCCAACATTGCTTCCTTGGAATATGTCAAAGGTTTCCACATACACGATATCTCATTTGACATTCAAATAGGTGTCACCAGCTCCTTCTATACTCCTTTACTCTGCCTGGATCTGTATTCCCCAGACTCCATACACATATATAGATCATGTATGACCTCCAGACTGAAACCCAATCACTGAGGCTTTCCTTCATGCCTTCACTCACAATTGTCTTAACCCT